TCAGAAAGTCTCACTCATTTTTCTGACTGTTGGCGTTGTCCCCCATTTCACATGCCTCAGCTATGTGGCATCTCATCCTTTAGTAGGCTAGACTGGCTTTCTTACATGATGTTTCACACAGGATTCCAAGAAGGCAAAGGCAGAAGCTGCAAGGTCCCTTGAAACCTATGCTTTCTAATTCATCCAATGACACTTCTGCCGTAATCTATTGATTATAGGAAGCCACAGAACAGCCTAGATGCAAGATATGGAGAAACATTATACTTCCCAATGAGAATTCAGATTCGCCGTGGCTATATTTTATTTATTTATTTGTTTTTGTTTTGATTTCATTTTTTGAGACAGAGTCTCACTGTGTAGTTAAGACTGCCCTGGAACTCACTATGTAAAGTGAAATATTTTGTACTGATGATGAGGATGATGATAATGATACTAAAAGTATTGTATATTTATGCTAAGTGGTTCTAAAAGTTCATGTCTCAAATTACAGATGGAGAACTAAGGGTTAGAGCAGTTAAAACACTTGAGGGCAGTAGTAACCTTTAGGGATGCACACACAGGTTGATTGATGTAGCCTGTGGTTTTGTCCATCCTCTACTTCTATGGACTCTTTGTGCAACAATTAATCCTTGATAATTGTATTATACCTTTTCGTCTCAACATCAATCCTGATTTTAAGAAAAATATTAAACTATAGAGGGCTAATAATGATTTTATAAAACTAAGGAAATTATTACTAAAGCTATGTTGCTAACTAATAAACAAGGGTTGACTAAGTACAGGTACCTGTCAACACCATTAACAGCTACTGGCAGCTTGGTGATAATAATTGTGCAAAGTGGTTCAGCCCTTCATCTTTCTAAGGATGATTTATAACAATATTGAAAGAAACTCCAGTGAATACAGCTTGCTATCTGTCTGCTTCCTCCACCTGGATTCTGTGTCAGCTAGCTTTCCCATTGGCTAGAGATCTCAAAATCATTTCTTCCCCTTCTGCTTTACTCTGCTGGCTGTTTCCTTTGTTGTGGAGAAGATTTGTAATTTAATGGAATCCCAATTTTTGATCTTTTACATTATTTCTTGTGCTATTGGAGTTCTGTTCAGAAAGTCTTTGCCTGTGCCCATGGTTTCAAGTGTTTTGTCTATGTTATCTTCTAATAGTTTCAAAGTTTCTATTTATATATATAGGTCTTTAATTCATTTTAATTTGATTTTAGTACAAAGAGAGAGATACGGATTGAGTTTCAATCATCTTCAAGTAGATATCCTCCTTTTTCAGGAACATTTGTTAAAGAGGCTATCTTTAAAAAGTATATGCTTTTAGTCTCTGTCAGAAATTGGATGGCTTTAGTATATGGGATTGTTTCTGTATCTTCTGTTCTCTTCTACTGACATATGTGTCTGTTTTTGTGCCAGTACCATGTTGTTTTTTTAATTATACTTTTGTAATACAACTCGAAACCTGGTATTATTATACCTATTTTGTTTAGCATGGTTTTGATTGTTCTGGGTCTTTTCTGGTTCTGTATGAATTTTATGATTGTTTTGTCAAGTTCTGTGAAGAATGGCATTGGCATTTTGATTGGTATTCCATTGAGTCTGTAGATTGCTTCTGGTAAGATGGCCATTTTAACAATGCTAATTCTGTTAATTAATTCTGCCAAGAACAGGGGATGTCTTTGCATTTTCTAATATTTTCTTCAGTGTCCTACAACTTCCCTTACAGAAGTCTTTTATCTTTTTGATTAGGTTTATTTCTAGGTTTCTAATGTCCTTTTTAAGCAATTGGAAGGGGAATTTTAATTTCATAGTGAGCTCCTTATTGATAAACAGGAATCCAAGTAATAAACTAGGGGAAATATAAATTTAGAAGACACAAGGAATAACTGTTGGTGGGATAGAAACTGCCAAAGAAGGTGAAACACCTTAGAAGTAAAAGCAGTAACTAAAACTCATACAAAGTTACAAATACACATATGCTCCATACATTAAAGTAGAAAGGAAAAAAGTTGGTTTTAATGATAATATGTATATACAAGAAAAGAATGGGGAGAGAGAGGAGATTTGAGAGGGTGTTGTGAGAGGGAACAGAAAGAAAAAAGACTAGAAGGGGATATAAAAATAAAGTGAGAGAAGCCAGGGAGAATGATTCTTGCTAATGAACTAATGAAAACATGAATTTAGACCAGGTGTTGTGGGGGCACATCTGTAATCCCAGTACTCTGAAAGCTGAGGAAGGAGAGTTACAGGTGAGAGCCCACCCTGGGTAACATAGTGACTTTGTGAGATTCCTTCTCAAAAAAAAAATAAATAAATAAATAAAAAGGGCTGGGGATATAGCTCAGATCAATGGCTCTAGGTCCAACAGGTCATCAGGGAGGAACAGTAGCACGATAAGACACTCATGAAAGAGAACTTCAGAACTGCTTCAGAAACTGACAAGAATAATGAATAAGTGTATTTGAAGCAGAGGGGACTATCTTGAGGGGTATTAGTGGTAATACATCTTTTACTCTAGTAAGATCTTTACAAATTTAAGCTTTAATGGTATTTTTTGGATCTCACGAATAAAGTCTCTTTCAGAAATCAAAGCTTCATGACCCTGTGCTGGTACTTCCCATGAAAAGCAGTAATTTCTTGAACTTAAAAAATAATATGGGGCTTAGATTATAGGAACATGGAAGGATAATAAGTGCCTTCAAACTACTGGCCATATTTGGATATATTATACTAATTCTGAAATCTTTAGTATTTAAGAGAAGCTATTTATATTAAACCCTTTATACATGAACATATAATGTATATAACATATAACATATATAGTATATATGTTGTATATATAAGTAGAATATGCAAGCCAGGGATAATTTAATATGAAAGGAAATTTTACTTATTGATTTATATTAATTTATGAAAAAAATTTGTTAGGTTGCTAATATTGAATACACAAAGGATATAATTATGATTTTACATACTGATGAGTACTCAAGTATTAATTGGGTATATAGAACTGAACATTATTAATTTCACTTAAAAATGTATACATGATGCATGAAATACAAAATATAGAATCTGCACCTGCCTCTATAAATTTGTATATAAAGATGCTTATCCTTAGAAAAGCTACATAAAGGCACAAAAATGAATTTAATAGCCATTTTTTAAAATTTTCTGTTTAGATTACATATTTACATTTAGATTACAGATTTTTTAAAAAATATAAAAGGTATATAAAATATAAAAACAATATATTAAAAATATAAAATTTTAAATATAAAAATTAAAATGATTCATGGACAAATTTACATATTGGAGTTTTTTGAGAACTATTGGCAATGCTGTTAGAAAAATGTCTGTTGGATTAAAATCATTTAAATCTTTAAAATCATAGTATTTTACATTTACAAAAAGACGTGGCAGTAAAGAGCTGCTCTCCAACTACCAAACAATAACATCTGTTTCAGACGAACTCTGTTGTGTTGTCCGAGTCAGGGCTGTCTACTGAGTCCAGATGTTGCACCACAGAGAAGGGAGATGAAGGCCCTTGAAATTGAACTCAAGACACAGATTTTGGTCAAATTATAAATGAATGTCCATCCTGTAGGCAGCCTACAGACCTCAGCTGCAGAACCGAAGTGCCTCGGATAGATCTGTCTCAGTTTGTAGTTTTCACTTTGACTTAGACAACCATTTATCCAGATAATACCTTCAGCTACTATCTTGTTCCAAAATGGTGCCTTGAGCCACCTACTTAGAGTTAAAATTCATGTATTTGCACTGATTCAAAAACAATTGAAATATAAACATGGAGAGTAAAGTCATTTAAAAAAACTGCTCTCTGTGATTCTTTTTCTAAAAAGGGCTGATTAAAAATCAGCTTCATATGTTCATGGAATGAACAATTTTGTGTTTAAACAAAGAGTGTTTACAGATTTCATACACAAACACAATAATATTTACATTTGTCAAGAATACAGGCCCTAAAATATTTTTTCCTTGACTATATCACAGGGCATAAACAAGCAAAAGAGGAAAACAGATATAATGAATATCCATGAACTGCAGAGATAATTACTTTCTGTACTCTTGAATAAACTTTTACTGCAACCTAAAGGGAATGTTTCTTAATGATGCTTAATGTCTTGAAATGAAGAACTATTATTAACATGCAGATACTGTTTTCTACAATTAGCAGATAGGAGAACAAAGCTCAATTCAAAATAAAATGCTTTAACTCACAACTCTCTTCTTTCAGACTTTAGTTCTTACTGGTTTGCAGTAGAAAGCAAAAGAAACCCCAGGCTATTGTGTCTCTTTAGTATAAATACATGCTGCTGAGGAGGTGCAGCAGAAAAGACAAACAACTTTAGATTAAATTCAGCTTTTAGGTAGCTGTGAGGCATTAGGCAAATCACTTAACCTCTCTGAGCATTAGTAGGCAGAGGTAATAATACCTCCTGGGTTTGTTACATGTACACTTAGACACTACATGTGTACAATAGATGATAACAATTATTCTAGAAGGCAGAGTTTGAAGTATTGAAGTATTAGATTCATCCATGAGAAATTGATGTTTCTGTAGATATAAATGGTCAGATTTTAGATCACACTATATGGTGATCCCCTCCTAGGAATCTTGAGAGCACTGTTAAAAAAGAGCCACAGCGTGCAAGGTGAGGCTAGATTCCCTGGTGAGTTTGGAGACAGACAGTGGTCATAAATGGAAATTTTTATAAGTGACTTGTTTATAACGTGTGAAATAACATATACAACCACAGAGACAGTAGATCTATCCCATGCCCTGCTCTCCTAGACAGATCGACATTTATATCTTGCTGAAAATTGAGTTCATATAATTGAATGTTTACACTGTGATTCCTTGTGGTTAATAGTCACAAATATACAAGCAGAATGGTATAAGCACATACTAGTACTGGCTTCCTCTTAATGTCACTACCACAGACAAGCCTGTTTAGGATTTTGGCGATCCCTGTCTGCTCCTAAAAGTTTGATTGCAGTACATTTTCCATGTTGTTGATTTCCCTCTAGGTCACCCTATTTTGTACATGAGGCAGATGTTTCTGGAAATTTCCACTCAACACAGTGTAGACTGAGACAGGAGAGGTAAAAGCCCACATAGAAGCCCAGTGTGGGCCACTCCATCTGTAAATTCACCAGCTGTATCACATAGGGGGCGAGACAACCTCCGGCACTAGTGTCATAGTTTTAACCTCATCACTCTCTGCTTTGAAGTACTGGGATTGCAATGGCAAAAGAGACATTTGGACAGACAAAACATAAACAACCATAAACATCACAGAGCAGTTATCCTCTAGAACATTGTGGACAGTTAATGGCTTTGCACTGACACATGAAACCCATTTTTTATATTCCTACTTCAGAAGATTATGAAAAGATTCTTTTTCATTGTTGTTAAAAACTTCCACAAGTTTCCAAATCTGCATGGTCTCGAGAAACAAAATAAAAAATATTGAATTAAAACTCAATGTTTCAAATAGGTCTACATGAGTCTATAGTGACACACATATTTGCTTGAATAAAATGAGGAGGGTAGTGGCAAACCATTGCAGTATATGAATATATCCCTTACAGGAGACAGAGCTTGATTTCCACTTTTCCCTTTCCTCTTAAGGTTGGGGTATACTTAGTGAAACAATTCCCAGACATGAAGTAGAGAAAGGAGAACATAGTAATTTCACAGTGGAGAAACCTGGCCAACATTACTTAGACCAAGTGATCAAGCCTTACATCAGGTAGCGATCCTGTGATCCTTGATATATTTTGATGAGGAGAGTTGACTCCTCCCTCAAGACATATAATTATAGTATAATCAGACAGTTACAGTCTAATCCTGATAACAGTATCAGAAAAACCCAGGATGGGAAATGTTCTACAGGATACCTGCTAATATTCCTTAAGTCTATCAATTATAAGGAAAGCGTGAGAAACTGGCATAGACTGGAGGAGACTGGGGAGACAATCAAATAATACGTTTTATTACCCTGGAGTAAATCTTGTGACAGAAGGATGAGTATAAGGAAAACTGGTGAAGTCCAACGAAAGGTCTTTAGTTATAGTAATGCTTTCACAAATGGGCCATAGTAATGTAAAATGTCAACAGTGGAAAGGTAGCTGAGGGATATATGGAAAATCTCTGTACTAACTTTGCTACTTTCTGTAATTTAAAATATGAAAATATTAAAATTCCCAAATTTTATCATGTTATATCATGTTTATACAATAAATATTCTTTGCGACATCATGGAAACAGATGAATAAGCCTTGTAGTTAATTTAGAACTAAATAATTTAAAGAAGTTACATAAAAATTTGTGAGACAATAGAACTTTGGTTCCAGGGTTTGCCATAAATATTGATTACTGGTGTAGATTGTTAAAAAAATATACTTAAAAAAACTTCATAGTGTTATATTGGTTGCAGAGAAACCCCACAAATTTATCTTTCTCAAAGTTACACAAAAATCTACTCAAAAGACATTTTAACAATATTTTTTACCTGACATATTATAAAATTACTGACATTCATTTGAACAACTTGGTATATACAATTTCAAGTTGAATATAATTTAGACTTATGCAGTTTTAAAGAGAAGTATCTTTAAAGTCCTTCCCAAGTTTATTATTAGGTAAGGTTTTGGTTTATTTACTCCTGATTAATCTTGATCTAATACTGAGATCCTTATTGATTCAAATATTAACACCATCCTTTTCCTCTAATTAAAAAAGTTAAAACATAATTAAAAAGCTGCCCAGACATTTCAGATGTTTTCAAATACATACAACTTTGCAAAATGTATAAATAACACAGTTAACATTGTTGATGACAAATATAAAATTGTTTTTTAGATAATTGAGTTATAATTGTATTTTATAAAACTATTACATTGTTGTTAAAAACAGCATTTATTATTAAGAGATCCTCAAGTAAATGCTTTAAAACACCTTACTTTCAGAACATGCTTTCTTTAGACATATATTAATACTCTCTTGTCTTAGCATGGTATGTTTCTTGTAATTGTTTAAGCTTCCATTGTAGTTATCCTATTATATCTGAACTGTTCTTTTAACAAATAAAGAAAAATAAGGCAAACATTTACCACCTGGCTTCTTTATTCTGTTGATAAATTTCCTAAGTACAGCATAAAGTTAAAATATAGTACACCAAAATAAACAGTAAAGGGAAAAAGAAAGTCATTATTGTTAAAAGTGTTTACTTGTAAAATGAGAGAGAGAGAGAGAGAGAGAGAGAGAGAGAATATTAATTCTTACATTCACTGATAGGTATTGGCTTTTGCAGGTTATAAGGCATGATTTTAAGTTTATTTTAGGGTTCTGGTAAAATTCCTCAGGGAAAAGCTAAGACTCTTTGGGTGGCTTCTCACAGAGAACACTACATTTCATCATTCACTGACTTGTTTTTTTCTTTAGCCAGGCCCAGCGGTAGTAAGTTCAGAACAGAGGCTACTTATTATTATCATTATCTTTAGTGTTATTAACAGTAATAGGTAACAGCAGGCAGTATTTTTATATGATGATGAATAATCTAAGTATGGTGAATATTATAACCCAGTGAATTTCATAAGTGCATATTATAACCCAACCTCATAAGTACAATGTCCTTAGTGTATGATAGAACAAAAATCTGGGTGCAGAGGGGTTAACCTGCTTGCCCCAAATTACCCAACTTTTAAGAGGAAGAGGTGGCATTTCAGCCTAGGCTGATGGTTGGACTTCAGAGCCTTTGCTGATAACTGCAGGTCCAGATGGCAACTCAGTCCACATGAAGAGGGCCTGTTGTGTAATCAGTCAAGCTTTCCTTGGTGCTCCTCCAGAGAGAATTCACAGGTGGTGTTCCAAATGCCTCCCTGTAGAGATGCCAAATGTCTTCATTCCTGGCAGAGCCCTTTACTCAGTAGAGGCAGGCTCAGGTTAGGTGGGTGGGCAGGATGGCCAAGCGAGCACCCAGGACCAGAAGGACTCTGAGTAGGCACAAAGTTCAGTCTTGTTCACCGTAAGGATTTCTTGATAGAGGAATGACAGAGGTTGCATCTTCAGCATATCCTTTATGATAACTAGTGAAAAATAGCAGAAACAGAACCTGAAGCAGCTGCTGGTGCAAATAGTGAAAGTTTATTATTATTATTATTTTGCTTTGCTTGTTTGCTGATTTAACGCAAGATGAAGTCAAAGGCAGGTTGAGGCCCATTATGTGAACATGCTCTCTGGTTAGATAGGTTGGAGCTTATGGGAACCAATCAGCCCTAGTGGTTCTCATTTCACCTTTCAATTAGCTGATGATTTCTGTGGGTACAGCCAGTGCTGGTGGGAGAAACAGTACACACATAATCAGTCCTGTCTATGTGCAGTTTTATGGACTGAATGTGTGAGTTCCACTCAAATGTGTATTTCAGAATCCTATATCTCAATGAGATAATGTTCAAAGGTGGAGGTCCATGGGAAGTAGTGAGTGGAATTAGTGTCCCTATAAGGAGAGACACTACAAGTTACTGCCTGCTCTTTTTCCCTTCCTCTTCCATGTCAGAATACAAGGAGAGACTGGCAGTCTGAAATCCAGAAGGAAGCCCTCACCAGAAACTGACCATGTATGCTGGCATACTGATTTCTGACTTTTAACATTCAGAACAGTGAGAAATTACTTTCTGTTGTTTATAGCTGGTACTTTGGTATAGTAGTCCAAGCCAAGACATATGCTCATATGGGTTATTGTTTTTTGTTTACTAAAAATGGGATTGTGGTTCTTACCTCCATCTCTCTTGGGCTGTGTCTACATAATGCAGAAATGACTCCTCTACTTGACAAGTGATGGAATGGAAAAGGAATCTGCAGACTGACTTGAGATTCATATAAAAAGCACCTGGCTCTTAGGAGAAGCATACAAAATTTTAGTCATACATTCTGATGCTATGTTCAGATTTCAAATACACAATTTTTTACTCAGTTATTTTCTTTTCAAATGAAATTGTAGAAATGGCAGTGCTGGTTGCTGTGCTAATTTCCTAGGGATTCCAAAACAAATTACCGTAAACTGGATGGCTTAAAACAGCAGAAATTCATTCCTTAGTTCTGGGAGCTAAAAGTTTGAAATGAAGTTGTTGTCATGGTTTTTCCTTTTTGGAGGCCCCAAAGAAGACACTACTCCATATCTCTTTCATAACTTCTGATGCTTTCTGTTTTGTTTGGCTCGTGAACATATTATTGCAACCTCTGCCTCTGTCTTCACACATGCATTCTCTCTGTGCATCTCTGAGTCTCTTCAAATTTCCCTCTCTTCATAAAGACACCAGTCGCTGGATTTAGAGCCTTCCTCACCCTAACTTTATTACACCTGCCAGGACCCTATTTCCAAATAAAGTCACTTTCTGAAGTACAGTAAACTGGAACTCAAATATATCTTTATGGAGATTGGAGACTGCAACTGAAGCAAACTACAATCGGATATTGACACATTTACCTTTGGGTAATTCTTAGCCATTTTGGAAATTCCCCTTCCTTTGATTACTGCATTTTTGTCATTTCTGGCTGTCATGGATCTTTAAATTCATATTTAAATTTATTTGTTCTCCACTGAGGTTATGATTAAATTCAGGATCTTTTTCTTCTTCAAATCAAACTGTCAACTGGATTGCATAAAGGAGAAACTAAGTGGGAAGACTGATGAGAAGAGGATCCACAAGGACACTCTTCAAGGCTGCTCATGTGTTGACAAGAAGGATGAAGTACTTCACAACTTAATTCAACTCGATTTTTCTTAAGTTTTAACAACTTACCAGAGTACATCGCCACGGGATGTTAAATCAAAAGCACAACTCTCAACACCATCTTTAAATCTGATGACCTTTGAGTAGACCCAGACAGGCAATGCCAGAATAAGAGAAGCTACCCAAAGGCCCAAATTGATGCACATGGTGCTGTACCTCGTTCTCCAACTCGTCAGATAAAATGGTTGGATGAGGGCCAAGTACCTGGAAAACCAGTTAAGAAGGGTTTGGGAACAATCAATAAAAACATTGAGCTCCAAGAATGAAAGGTTCATGACAAGAGTAAATTATTAGTATTATTATCCTTCCTGAAGCACACCTCTATCATTGTACAAGAAAGTTATATTTTTAAGAGCTTGCTGATACTGTAGAGAAAACAACTCTTGACCCTGCAAGTCTGAATAAACCACTCACCGAAATAGCTGTCACTTCTAACATGAACACACTGATAATGGTAAAATTTTCTTCAGAAAAGTGCTTCTCTTTTAAAGGAGGCTCTGGAAAACTTTGTCTCTGAGCCAGAATTTCTGCTAGGAGGAAATGATTCTCTTTCTAGCAAGGTTTACTGATGTAAAGGCAGGAAGGAGGAAAATGTGGAGGATGATAGAGAAGACTCCCTCAGCAGGATGAGGTGTAGGCACACCCTATAGACATTTATAATAGAATCCCCAGGCTCTTGGAAGTTTGGTTCACAGAAATCACAGTAAGGATGAATAAGCATGACTAGTTTGACTGATGTAAATTCCTCAGGGAATTTGGGCAGGGGTCCAGAGAGAGAAAACAGGCTAACTATATGTGGAAGAGTGGGGAAGTGTTTTTCTTTTCTTCAACTTTAGATCCAGAAAAGCATGATCATTCATCACACTTGATATCCTGACATATCAAAGATATGTAATCCTGCAGCAAATCAAAAAAGAAAATCGCAGAGCTAACTGAAACTAACTGATGAAAGGAGAGCAGTGAGCAGAAGGAAGGCTGCTTAAGAAAGCAGCTTTGCTGGAGGGTGGGGTGGTTGAAAGCAATATTAGTAGAAATGAGACAAATTTAAAAATGATTTTGTCACTCACAGTTTTTTTCCAGCTTCTTGTACAGCTAGTTAATGAAGACTCACAAAAATGAAAGATTCCCAATCCTTTTGCTGTTTCAATTTTGCACACAAGACAGGACATTTTGCGATCAGTTAAGAGAGCTTCTGACATGCCAACATGTCTTCCTTCTTTCTGGGGCAGGGGCAGAGACAGTAATTGCAGTGCAGCCCAGTCATCATTCTGAGTAGAATTAAAAAATGATGAAGTCGTGGGACCAATCAGTGCTCTGATAGAATCCCTCTCTGGGTGAAAATCTTTTAATGCCTTTCTATGCCTTTCAGTTACAATTCAGATTCAATTCCATTCTTCACCATGACTCACAAGTTCTTTCTCTACCTGGCCCTGCCCACCACTTTGGCTGGAACTTATGCCACAGTCTGTCTTGCATTCCGTTTTAGTCAGTTCTTGTTATTATAACTAATACCTGAGATAATAAACTTAAGAAAGAAAAGGCTTATTTTGGCTCAGAGTTTCTAGTCCAAGATTAGTAGTAGCTTTGGACCTGTGGCAAGGCAACACATCAAGGTAGGGAGCAATAGGAGAGGAAAACTGCTCACCTCATGGTCCAGAGGTGGGAGAGACAGGGGAAATATCTAGAATCCTACAACCAGCTCGGTCACATGCCTAAAGATGACCTAAAGATGTCTCACTAGGCCCCACCCCTTAAAGATTTCACTACCCTCCAATAGTGTCAAGCTGGGGACCAAGCCTTTGGGGCCTTTGAGGGAGGATACATTGCAGATCCAAAGTATAACAACTTTGTTCAAGTTTTTCCCTCTTTCAGGGCCAGGCATGTGCTATTCTACCTGCTTGATAAGATCTTTCTTCATGTCCTTCTGCTTTCCTTTTGAGTGCCTACTTGTCTCTCTCCCCATCTCTCCCCTGCAAGAAGCCTTTTCTGTCTACCCATCAAGGGTCCATGATGGTCAATGCAGATTATAGGAGAGCTGTATTTTTCCTTCCTAATATATATAACTATGGAAATAAACATTCACTCATGTGACTCTTCACTTAATGCCTGTCTACACTATTGGAATGGAAGCCCTATGAGGAGCCTTGACAATGAATTTAAGGCCACAGAATCCCATGCATCTGAAAGACTCTGGCCTATGGTCTATGCTCAAACATTGCTTTTTGAATGAATAAATGAATGAATGGGAAATTCTGGCTCTTATGCATTGTTCTAAAGATTATTTACAAACATTGATCCTAAAGAAAATTTAGTAGCTTTTATCTGGTGACAAGTATTTCATATTTTGATTGCTTACGTTTTTGTTTTTTGTGTTGCTGCGGATGGAGAACCCCACTATTCAATATTCTATATACTTGTTATTACTAATAAAGAAGTAACAAAGAATAATCAGAAGTACTTGAAATGCATGATCTATTAAATTAACAATTGAAGTGACTTTACATATATAAACATAAAACATATCAATGCCATGACAATTGGTTATAGCCTTACAAAGAAGTCTCCATTTCTTTTTACACAATTGTAGATTTGGTTAAACTTTTATAAATTTCGTAGAAGTTAGAAAAGCCGTGGAACATTTGTCTCCTGCCACCTGATTCTCTAGCGTGAGGGCCAGCATAAGGAAAGGGCCTAAATGTCTTAACTGTGAAGTAAAATATTAGTGTTTGTATCTATCCAGATTAAAAGAAAGCAGCTGTGTAACACAGACACACACATGAAAACCATACTTGTGGATTTGTAAACGTTAGGAATTGTATTAAGTTGGTCTATTTCAAGCCAGAAAGTTTCTATTCACTTTACTTGCAGTAAAAAATTTATTGGAGGACAAATAGTGTTTTTAAAGCCAATATTCGGTTTCTAAACTGTAAAACATGAGAAATTTTTACCATACCCAAGAGTGGGTCTACCACAGAAAGGCTTGGACTTAGGTGCTTCTCCACAGCCAGCTTTGCCCATGTAGGGCCTTCTTCCTGGTGCAGGGACACTGGGAAGCTGTGGGCTTTTTTCAAGTCACCATCAGCACTGGCTGGCATTCACTGAGTGAACCACAACTGCATAGCACTTTGATTATAAATTGAGAATCACACTGAATTGTGAGAATTCCTTTACAGGAAAGCAACAGGATATAAAAATGTGTAAAGTGTTATCATCATGCCTCATTTTGTCAAAGTGAATTATCTATATTCACTATGCCATTCTTCTGTTTAATTCACCACTTCCCTACTCCAAGGCCCACTTGGGAGGGTGGAAGAAGCAGAGCTTAAGAAGGCCTAGGTAGACCCAGATAAATTCAGTATGCCTTTAACATTGACATTAATTAATTCATATTCATTTATCAATATTTTTGTACATCCATTTGCTAGGTACTGTAACATAGAGATTTGGGATGTATCGGTGGACAGACGTTACTTTTGTGAAATCTCCTCTTGAAGGACAAGAAAAGCTAGGCAGTGAACAAAATCTATATAAATAAGAGCACAAAGAAAACTGTGAGATAATTAAAACAAGAGGAAAATAAAAGAAAAAACAGATCAGAGAAAGGGGAACCAAGTGTACTGGATTGGGGTGGGAAGAAAAGGATAGGTGGAGATTTAAAATCAGTTGTTCTTGGAGACAGCATGTCACTGTTGTATGTATTATCATTGCCTTTATGCTTTCATTTAGGTAGAGTTGCAGGAATGGGTGGGGATCATGACATCTGGAAATGCAGGGTAATCATAGCTTGTTTGCTTCTTAGGTAGGGGGAATAGTTGCAGATGATGGCAGGTTATTATGTTTGAAATCAACACCTGGGTCTGAACTGGGCTCCCCTACTCACTGACTTCATAAGTGTTTACTACTTCAATTATCTCTTTAAACAACTAGTTTAAATGGTCAATGAAAAGGACTATTGCACATTCCAGGACATGGGAATACATTTTTAATGATGTAAAATGGCAGTGATATATTAATCAAACCTAACCATGTGGTGATCTTCCTGGTTTTGGGAAATTGCTTCATAGCTGTATGATTTTAGTGTTTTACATTTTCCATTAAAAATAGACCCTGGTGAGCTAGGCATGGTAGCACAAGCCTGTAATCTGAGCTCTTGGTAGACTAAGGCAGGAGAACTTGAGTTTAAGGTCATCTTGGGCTACAAAGTCTCAAACAAGCAAACAAAAAAACCCCAAAAGAATTAAAAAACAAAACAAAATAGAACCATGTGAATTTTGAAAATAATTCTCTACTAATTAATTCTACAGTAAAACAAAGGAAGAAGAGCTTTGCAGTTGTAAAGCACCAATGTTGCTTAAATTGGTGCCTCTGAATTGTCTTAAGGTACTTCAAAGTCTCTTTTTTAATGGACAGTGTGAAATAGGAAGAAGGGGGCTAAAGGTGTAGGGAAGGTGGGAGGGGTGGGGGAAAGATAATAAGGGAAAAGAAAAATATGATAAAATGAAGAAATGGAAATGAAGTGTTTGTAAAGGGGGAGGGAGAAGGGGTGAAGGGAGGCAGGGCCAAGGGGAAAAAATGAGAACCAAGACCTGTCAAGTAAAGGTAAAAGATCCCAATGTACCAATAAACTCAATGAGGAAAAAAAAAAATCTCTTTCTTCACTTATCTGTCCACACATTACAGCAATAACAGAACTGCAGGCAAACTTGTTGCAGCTGTCCAGGGACACAACAATGGGGCACAGAGGCCTCCCAAACAGCCACGCTCCCCCTCAGGCCTGTTGGAGAATGAGAAAAGGTATTCCAATGATGTGGATCAAATCAACCATAGCCAGGTTGCAGATATAAATGTTAAGGATTTTTTTTCCTGGACCTGAAATAAAGTAAAGCAGACTGAAAATTATGATAGAAAGTGTGCACTTTCTTCAGCATATGCCACCTGTTGCAAAATTTTTAATTGACTTAATGAATTATAAAAAATTAAGGGAAAAACAGATTCAGATGCACAGTGAACTTTATATATACTTATACATTTTGAATTATTTTTCTGATAACTCAGTGTAATGATTTACAAGTATCTCCAGAAATGTTTTGATATTCCTTTCGATATGAAGGCTCTAATTTGCACTGAGTCCTGAACCTACTTAATTGTTTCTAATGATGAGAGTAAGTGTGGTGGAAGTGGCAGGTGTGACATTTGCAATGGAGCCTTGGAAGCACAGAGGGCTTTCCCTTTTGCTCTCTTGGGTCACTGTCTCATGTGAGGGCAGCTGTCTTGTTTGAGGATATTAAAGCAACCCCATGGTGATACCCACACACAGAGGAATGGCAGGCCCCTGCTAAAAACCGACTAACACCTACTTTCAGGGTGTGCGAGTTGCTTTGGGATTAGATCTTCTCTGTCAGATCAGCCTTGAGATGACTGCTGGAGGGAAGCTTGAGAGTCTTTTTTGAGATTCCCTGAGCCAGAACAAACCAGCCAAGTTGTTCTTGGATTTCTCTTTTTTTGTTTGTTTTTTGTTTTGAGACTGGGTCTCACTATGTACTTGACACTGCCTGGAACTCACTATGCAGCCCAGGCTGGTCTCAAACTCACAGCGATCCTGCTGTCTCAGCCTCCCAAGTGCTGGGATTGCAGGTGTGTATCACTATGCCCGACAAGATTCTTGACGCTTGAAAACTATGAGTTGATACTTGTTTGTTGAAGCCACAGAGTCTCACGGTAATTTTTCTATGCAGCAGAAAACATATTATACCATATTTAAGTACACTGAAGCAAAAAGTTTTCAAACTCACAGCGATCCTGCTGTCTCAGCCTCCCAAGTGCTGGGATTGCAGGTGTGTATCACTATGCCCGACAAGATTCTTGACGCTTGAAAACTATGAGTTGATACTTGTTTGTTGAAGCCACAGAGTCTCACGGTAATTTTTCTATGCAGCAGAAAACATATTATACCATATTTAAGTACACTGAAGCAAAAAGTTTTGTCTTCACTCCTTCCTCCTTCCTAGCATTGTCTTCACTCCTTCCTAGCACCTACAACAGCTGAACAGTGAAAATAAATGCTTTCCATTGTATAATGTCTATTTTCCACACCAGAGCTAAGGCCATTGTTCGAATTTCAATCATTACTTAGGAAAATTCCAGTAAAATCTAACTCAACAGCAAACACTATTAGTGAAGAACTGAAAATCTAGACAACAAAGAGGAATCTGAAATGAGTGAATTGGTAGATGGATGGTGCTGAAGTTGATCTCATGTCTCCTACAGAGGGAGGGAGGAGTAAACACAATGCTATCTAGGTGTAGCATTCTTACCTGATAATGAACGAGTTTTCTGAGACCAGAAATTAAAATTTAAAATTCAGTTCTTCAAAGGGTGGACATTCAATAGTGAAGAATTCTCATCTCTATATTGGAGATGTTCATTAATTCAACAAACATTTCATTGAACACCAGTTATATTTCAAGCATTACATTGTGCTCTGGGCTGCAAAGCTAAATAATGCATAAACTCTATCATCAAAGAGCTCATAGTGTATACAGGTATATAAATGATTACATTATTCTTGGGTAAGACAAAGCTAGACAAGTGTAAAGTGTACAAAGAAGTAGTCTCTTGTCTCTCCCCATGAGGATGACTATACAGACAGGTTTCTTGGCAGATGTGATGTCTGAATTGAGGACAAATAAAAATTTAAGGAACACACAAAAATTAGCCCTAAGATCATTTCACATTTGCTGTTGAAAGAGAGCTATTGCTCTGCTGTTTAGAAGCTGGTGCTTGCCTTTATTTCATTGGTGACAAACTCTATGGCTTGTGAACCCCATTTCTTCTTTTTCTTTTTTTCTTTTTTTTTGGTACCGGGATTGAACTCAGGACCTTGTGCTTGCAAAGCAGCTGGCAAAACCACTGAGCTAAATCCCTGGCCCCCATTTCTTTTTTTTTTCATTTTTTATTTTTTATTAATACATGTTTGAAAGACATTATATTCCTTGTGGAAATTGGTATATGTATGTAACACATCTTAATTCCTTTTTCATTCTCTTACTCCATCCCACTTCCCTCTCTTGGTTCCCTTCCCTTTTACAAAAGATGTATCCCCCTATTTCCTATTATCAATCTTTTATTTTGCTCTTAGATTTGTTTACATTTGGGTTTCTCAATGAGAGAAACCAGGTGATGCTTAAGCTTCTGTGCCTGCCTGATTTATTTCCCTTAATATTGTGGCATTGTGATGCATCCATTTACCTATGAATGCATTGTTTATCCTTATTTATGGTACAGCAGCACTCCATTGAGTATAAATACCACATTGTCTTTATCCATTCATCTGTTGATGGACATATAGGCTGCTTTCAAGATTTAGCGATCATGAATTGTGCTGCTATAAACATGGGTATGTTTTTATCACTATAATATTATATCGTGAACATTTTGGGGAAGATGCTGGGAAGGGGAATAGCTGGGTCAAATGGAATTTATGGTTTTAGATTTTTGAAGAATCCCCGTACTGATTTCCAGTAGTTTTACTAGTTTATATTCTCACCAACAATGTGGAAGTGTTCCTTTTTCCTTGTAGGCTCACTGGCAATTATTATTGTTTGATTTTTTGATGATTAGTATTCTTTCTGGAGTAAGATGAAATGTCAGTGTTGTTTTAATTTGTATTTCTGAAATGGCCAGAACTATTTAATATTTTTTCATGTATTCATTGGCCATTTGTATTTCTTTTGAGAAATGTCTGTTCATTTCAGTTGTCCATTTTTTAAAAATTAGGTCTTTTACTTGAAGGGGAATCTATTTTTTGAGTTCATTATTTTTATTCTAGACATTAGTCCTCTGAGGAATAGCTGGCAAACTTTTTTCTCATTTTGTTGGTTGATTCTCTTGCTGTGCAAAAGCTTTTGAATTTGACATCATCCCATTTGTTGATTCTTCAAATTTTGTGTGTGTGTGTGTGTGTGTGTGTGTGCAATTTGGGTTCTGTTCAGGAAGTTCTTGCCTCTGCCTATGTCTTCAATAGTTTTATCTATTTTATCTTCCAGCACATTAAGTGTTTGTATTTTAATAATATATTAGATATTTAATTCACCATAATTTCAGCTTAGTACACAGTGAGAGACAGAGGTCTAGATTCAGTTTTCAATCTATGGATATCCAGTTTTCCCAGTCCCATTGTTAAATAGGCTGTCTTTCCTCCAGTGTATGCTTCTGGCCCCTTTGTCAAAGATCAGACAGCTGAATATGCCTAATGTGTGTGTGTGCAATTCGGGTTCTGTTCAGGAAGTTCTTGCCTCTGCCTATGTCTTCAATAGTTTTATCTATTTTATCTTCCAGCACATTAAGTGTTTGTATTTTAATAATATATTAGATATTTAATTCACCATAATTTCAGCTTAGTACACAGTGAGAGACAGAGGTCTAGATTCAGTTTTCAATCTATGGATATCCAGTTTTCCCAGTCCCATTGTTAAATAGGCTGTCTTTCCTCCAGTGTATGCTTCTGGCCCCTTTGTCAAAGATCAGACAGCTGAATATGCCTAGAGTTGTTTCTTCATCCTCAATTCTGTTTCCATAAACCACGTTTGTTTTTGTGCCCATAGTTTAAAACCATGCAGTTGATTAAAACCATGTAGTTTTTAATCACTGTAGCTTGCAATATAAGTTGAAGTCCAGGACTGTGATGAACCTCATTTCTAAACTGTCATCATGTGAAGTATCAGGGTGGGAGAGATAATATTCTGCCCAGATCTTGGTAACATATTCTAAGTTGGGGAAGTGTGACTGCTGTGGAGTCATTACTCAGAGACCACTTTCTAGTCATTGCTGTTGGCACTGACAAAACAGGTTGGTTCCTTTGTTCTGAGAGGTCAGTGGCTTACATGAGAACATTCAAAGGAAAAAGAGATTTGAGGAAAAGATCATGTTACCAGAAGAGCAGCCAAGTGACTGTCCTTGGTCCCTTATCAGTTTTACTCTCCAGACTATTGAGAGAAGGAGATGAAAATGGAATAGGAAAGAGAACAGACACTAGGGATCAGGTAAAAAGAGATGCACACACCTACAAGTCATAAATCCTAGCCTCCACATAGATGTTGTTTGTATTTGAATTGGGTTATTTGTATTTGAATTGCAAAGCATTGGTTAGGTCCCCAGTGTAGCAGTTAGACCCATGCCCTTTGCTTCTCTGTAGACAGCTACACATCATTTAGTAATAATGAATTATAGTAGTTCCATTGTTGAGCACAGTGCAGATCATTCACTAGCAATTAAAAGGAATTAAATCATAGTATTTCTAGACAGTATTTTGTATCTTGTAAAGAGAAATTTGAAGTGATGTAAATAACACATATTTATTATTGATTTCCTTATTGAAAGTAACAGCATAGCGATTTTAAAATGAATAAAATTTATAAAATGTCAAACTATGTAACTTTCTAACTGTGCTATGTACCTAATTTTTAGGCTTAATTTATTTTCAGATTTCCTGTTGTTTGACTCTTAAATTTCTCTTAGGAACCAAATATTTAAGTTAAAAAATAGATTTGTGGTAACTTTTTTTATATGGTTAACATAGTTCACTAATTTGAGGAATGGCTTTAAAAATTATGGTATTACACATATACAAATATACAGTGGTGAAAAGTTATAGTTTTAAGAAATATTTAGTTAAATGAAAAAGTGCTTACTTTTAAAAAAGGATATTGTCCATGTATTTAGTATAACTCCAAATTTATTTAACATTTATTTAAAAATTATGAAGGGATAATGTGTCAAGTGAATAGTAGTCATTATTCAGTATATAACTAATTTTTACCCTTTTTAATATTTTTTGATATTTAAAAATTTCTATTAATATCAAATTTACCCTTTGCAGTCAGAATGACAACATATGCTGTGGATTAAATAAAACTCACAAACCATAGCATTATGCATACACTGGCTGCTGTGCTGGTCATTTATCTGCTTGTTCTTCAGCCTAGTTCCCATCTTTCCAGAGAAATTTGTTCCCAGGTCTCCTTGCCAACTGGTCACTAACTAGGTTATGACAGTAGCAAGAATTGGCTGGAAATGGAGGGAATTTTTAAAAAGCTCCACGGGTAATTTTAATATGTGACTGAGATTGAGGATTGCTGCTCTAAAACCTCACTGACTCAGCAGCAATCATTAGCCTAGGTCTTACCATTTTGAGATCTGCAACTCAGATGATACTCAGTGCATAACAAAACTATCTTTAGAATTTTAAAAATTATTTTAAGCAAATGTTTCTGAAGCCTGATTTCATGAAGCAAAATCCTGTAGGGGAACGGTTTAGTTTGACTTATTTAGAGAATTTAGAACATGTTCCCTAAACTATGACAGAAAAGAAAAAGAAGCCCTTACCTTATGATCGTAAATATGATGAGGATATTGCCAACCAGCCCTGTTAGACAGATGATCCCAATGGAAAGAAGATTGACTATATCAACAATGCTGGGGGTTGATAAGTAAATTCTTTTTTTCCAGGATTTGTTTAAAATTTCAGCAGGCATGTTTCAACAGCATGAGTGAAATGAATTCATTATTCATGGATCAGTGTTAAAATCTGTGAAATAAATTAAAAATGATTTATTTAATGAGTTCCTCCAATATATATTTCTTTAAACTTAATTAAAATATTGATTGGAACCTTCTTTGCACCAAGATTTCATGTAACATTGGATTCCAGCATAAGTATGATTGCTCCCTCTTTGTAGTGAGCTCACACAGATTAACAGAAGATAAAGGTAAAGGGAAAATTACAGAACAATATGAGAATCATCATAAAAATATTCATGTCTTAGCCCACCTTATTGTAATTCATGGTTTTACCATAGCTGATATCTATTCAGCACACACTGGTACTAATCATTTGCAGCTGTTTTTTTTTTTTTTTCCAGTACTGGGGATTGAACTCAGGGCCTTCTCACTGAGCTACAACCCCAACTCTTTTATTTCTTATTTCATAAGAAGGTTTACTAAGTTGCCCAGGCTGGGCTCAAACTCGTGTGTGTATTTGTCTTGGCTAGTATCTAAAGAACACTTAGGTTTGTTAAATACATCTTTGTCTATATAAAGTACATGAGTTAAACTCAGTTGTGCTCAAGAATGGGTAAGACTTTCTGAAATGATTCATGGACTGTCTTGAAGCTATGTCTTAGCTCAGCAAAGGAGGGCTATAGCAAGGGGAAAATGTTTTGACCATTGGAGCCACCATGTACAAAGAGTATATAGGGAGAAATGCTCATCAATCAATGTAAAAAAAAGTAGACGATGAAGTTGGAAATCAATGACAAAAGAAAATGCAGAAATTACACAAGTGCATGGAGACTAAACAATACACTCTTAACAGGGGCTACAGAAATAATCAAGGAAGAAATAAGCCAATTTCTAGAACTAAATGATGTTAGTAGAACATACCAGAAGTTATGGGATACAATGAAAGTAAGAAGTTTATAGCTATGAATACCTGCATTACAAAAACAGAGTGAGCCAAATAACCCAAAGATGAACCCCAAGGCCCTATAAATACAAGAAAAATCCAAAATCAAAGCTAGTACAAGGAAGAGAATTATAAAGATAAGAGCAGAAATCCATGAAATTGAGGCAAAAATACAAAGGGTTAATAAATTGAAGAGTTGATTCTTCAAAAGAATAAACAAAATAGACACAGCCAATCAAACCAAAAAGAGGAGAAAAAAGACCCAATCAATGCAATTAGAAATAAAAGTGTACTCTTAAGTGAAACAAGTAAGTCACACATGTATAAATACTGAATTGTTTCTCTGGTGTGAAAAACTAAAATAGTACTCAAGATACTAACAGGTTAATTAGCAATGTGAAACAGGAAGAAAAGGACTAAAGATGTAGGGACAGTGAGAAGGGTAGGGGAAGGGGAATAAGGGAAAGGGAAAAAATATGAGAAAATGCAAAAATGAAATTAAAGTGTGTGAAGTGGGGAGGGGAGGTGAGGGTGAAGGGAGGGCGGGGACAAGGGGAAAAATGAGAACCAAGACCTGTCGTATAAAGGTACGAGATCCCAGTGATGAATGTGACTGTACTGTCTTACCCAGAATGTACCAATAAATTCAATAAAAAAGAAATAAAAGTGAGATAACAACAGACACTGCCTAAATAAAAAACATTATTAACAACTACCTTTCAAATATGTGCACCAGTAAACTGGAGAATTCAGAAGAGATGGATAGATTCATAAATACATAAAATTATCAAAATTGAAGCAAGAAAATTTTAAAGCACTAAATAATCAATAACAATAAAATTGAAGCGGGATTAAATAAGCTACCAGCTAAGAAAAGCATGGTTTTCAACGAATTCACTGCAGAATTCTATAAAAACTTCAGAGAAGTTCTAACTTCCTCAACTTTTTAATGAAATTTAAAGGGAAAGATTACTCCCAAAGTGATCCCTGAAAGATACCTAATCACCCTTATTCCAAAATTGGACAGGTCCGGGGATTTAGCTCAGAGGTTCTGCCACCTGCCTCGCAAGCACAAAGATCTGATTTTGATCCCTGGTACAAACAAAAAACAAAGAACAACAATAAGAACAACAACAAAAAAAAACAAGTAAGGGCCGGGGATTTAGCTCACTGTTTCCACTGCCTGCCTCATAAGCAAAAGGGCCTGAGTTCGATCCCTGGTACCAAAAACAAACAAAACATCAAGTAACAGTTAAGTCTATGGGCCGGGGATTTAGCTCAGTGCTTCTGCCTCCTGCCTCTAAAGTGCAAGGACCTAAGTTCGATCCCTGGTACCGGGGGTGGGGCGGGATAAGTGAAATTTGACAAAGATCTGTAAACCAATCTCTAAAGAATACAGATGCCAAAATCCTCAATAAGATATCGGCAAACAGAATGCGATGAATCATCAAAAAGATCATACATTATATCCAAGTAGGCTTCATCCCAGGTATACAGGGTGGTTCAATACGCAAATCCACATAAACAGAGGCAAGGTAAAAAATCACATATCTCAATAGAGGCAGAAACCTTTGACAAAACCAACATCCTCTCATGATATTAGCACTGAAGAAAATATGTACAACAAGACCTTATCTCAATTTGATAAAAGCCTTTCTTTTTTTTTGGCTTTTTTTTGAGATAGAGTCTTGCTATGTAATTAATGTTGGTCTTGAACTCACTATGTAGTCCAAGCTGGCCTCAAACTCATGGCAGTCCTCCTGCCTCAGCCTCCCAAGTGTTGAGATTGCATGTATGTGCCACCATGCCTTGCTGTTAAAAGCCATTTATGACAAACCTATTGCCAACATTATACTGAATGGAGAAAAACTGAAAGCTATCTCTCTAAAATTAGGAATAAGAGAAAGATATCTTTTATCACCACTCCTGTTCAATATAGTACTTGAAACAGCAAGAGCAATTAGGCAAGAAAAAGAAATTAAAAGGCTATGTAAAGGAAAGAAGTCAAATTACCATTATTTTGCAGATGACATGATCCTCTTTATAGAAAACTCCAAAAAATTCACCAAAATGCTCTTAGAATTCATAACCAAATTCAGTAATATAGCAGAATACAAAGTCAATATACAAAAATCAATAGTGTTCCTGTATACTAATAATTATTTCACTGAGAAAGAAATTAGGAAAAAAGTACCATTCACAATAGTACAAGAAAAATTAAACACAGTACTTAGGAAGTAACCAAACTAAAGAAGTGAAAGATCTCTATGAGGAAAACTACAGCACTCTGAAAAGGAAAACCAAAGACAATATCCAAAAATAGAAAAATATCCCTTGTTCCCGGATAGACAGAACTAAGATCATCAAAATGTTCATTCTTCCAGAATGGACATAATAGATTCAACATAATCTCCATCAATGTGCCAACAACATTCTTCACAGAGCTGAAGAAAAAATTCATTTGGAGTTAGAAGTGACCCCGAATACTTAAAGAAATCCTTCGTAAGCAGAGCAAAGTGGAAGGCATCACAATCCTGGACTTGAAGTTGTATTACAAAAGTTAGTCCAGTTAAAAAAAGAAGCATAACTTTAAAACTGGCCTGTGTAGGCCTGTCATTAGCATCTAATGTAGTCCTGAAAACTGTTTTTAGCAGTTACAAAATATAGAAAATCAATATTTATCTTGCTCTACTGCAATTATTTGCAATTATATGTACTGCAACCTAAGGCAGGAATAGCCATGATTTGAGAGTTCATGACAGCGAAATGGAGCTCACCTGTTGTTGCCACAGAGACACCATGATGCTGTGACATTGCGTATATGACATGCCTATGTGTGGTGCTTAAAGAGTAAAAATGGGACTGTTTGCCTCACTCATTCTGTAGCTGAGAGCTTGCATTTTCTATGTGGTTACTCAGAACTTGAGAAGTCCCCAAGAGCCCCTACCCTTACCTAACTCCCTAATCTAGTTCAGTGATTAAAATTTTCCACATACCTTCAACATGGAAGGTGGCATTAAATTTTTATTTCATTTGTTTAAAATGTTTATTTTCTACTGTCATCAAGGCATAATCTTTTTTTTTTTTGTTGTTTTTTTTGTTTTTTGAGACAGGGTCTCACTATGTAGTTGGGACTGCTGACCTGTAACTCACTATGTAGCCCAGGCTGGTTTGGATCCTCTTGCCTCACAGCGATACTCTTGCCTCAGCCTGCCAAGTGCTGGGATTATAGGTGTCCACCATCACGCCCAGCAAGGCATACTCTTTTTTTTTTTAAATTTTTTTTCAGCTTTAATTGTGTTTGTTGGTACATTTTAGAGATACAGTACGGTTACATTCATTGTTGGGATCTTGTACCTCTACATGACAAGTCTTGATTCTCATTTTTCCGCCCTTACCCCTGCCCTCCTTTCACCCCTCCTCCCCTCCCCATCTACAAACACTTTATTTTCATCTTTTCATTATCTCACATTTTTTTCCCTTATTACCCTTCCCCTACCCATCCCACCTTCCCTACACCTTTAGCTCCTTTCTTCTCATTTCTAAATTTCAGTAATTTTACCAAAAAGGAATCTTAGCTCATTTATTCCCTTAAAACCAACCCCCCCCAAAAAAAAACTGTTTTGAGAAAACCCAGTGCATGAGAACCAGTCAGCAAAGATAGAAAGTACTGACAGACCAAAGAGGAAGACAGAAAGCCAGGAATGGTGGTGCATGCCTGTAATCCCAGCACTTGGTAGGCTGAGGCAGGAGGATCGCGTTGAGTTTGAGGACAGCCTGGGCTATATAGTGAGTTCAAGGCCATCCTGGATTACATAATGAGACCCTGTCTCAAAAAAAAAGAAAAGAAAAGAACAACAAAATAAAGGCAGAAATATTTAGGGTTACCAAAATGTGTGCCTTGGACAGTAGATTCTTGCACCCCAGATTTCAGCAGCAGGAAGAAAGGGATTATATGCTAAGCCAGACAAATGTGGCCCATAGCCAATTAAAATGTATTATGTTATATATATATATAAACACATTATTACTTAAATATATAAAAATCACTTGTAAGATATTTGTAAAAAACTATTTGTAAACTAAAATAGTTGCAATGTT